CGGTTGATGTCCAAGACTGCCCACTGCGATCTGGCGCTTGCGGTTGAGGCCCGGGGCCACGGCAAAGGAGGAAAGGAAGGAGGAAAAAGACTAGACCAATTATCTTTAAAAATCTAACAACCCTCACCTGAGAGGTGGGGAAAAACAATGGACACCCTACAAAAGTGACCCTCATCTGACCATTGCTACCTTCAGGTCACTCATCTTGCTGCGAAACGCAGGTCCCAAGTGTCCGTCCCTGATTACCCTAGCCACTTTCACACCTCCACGGTGAAGCAACGTGCCTTGTTGAGGAGAGCTCACTCATGGGAGACTCAAGCCTCGCGAGCCTGGAGTTGTTGGGTGTTGAGTATTTTTGGAATTTCCATCATCAACTGGAATTGAAGCCACTTCATCCCCCCCAACATATGTCCTCCCCCCAACTTTCCTCAAGAGCATCACCCTGGTTGATACTTCCGGCAATCAGAATCATGAGTAAGACAAGCGTTTCCAACCACAATACTTAAACTGATCCGCGACTCAAATCCTTGAGCACCCCATGCTTTGGCTCCCTTTTTCGACCGCGCTATCGGAACATGTGTGTCATTCCACCCGCGTGTTCGCGAAGAAGCTGCGAGTGGACCTGAGCCAAAGTATCCAGTTTGGGCTCTCAATAATGGGACAGGGTATGTGGTGGGAAGCAAAGGCCGACCCTTCCACCAGCTTTTCTTTGGTGGAACAAGTCCGTTTTGCTGAAAACGTGTAGTCACTATACCTCGAGCTGCCCTTCCCATCCGCTCCGAAGTTTGTCAGGTTGTCACAGACAGGGAGGGAGGGAGGGAGGGAGCGAGAGACGAGACGAGACGCGACGCGACGCGACGAGACGCGACGCGACGCGACAAGCGAAGCGAAGCGACGAGATGAGACGCGAAGCGAAGCGAAGAGCGGAGCGGAGCAGAGCAGAGCAGAGCAGAGCAGAGCAGCGGAGCGGAGAGGAGAGGAGAGGAGAGTATTAAATAAAGCAACAACACAGAGAAGCTTCACATTCGGAGGTGTTGACAGTTGAATAGTCTTCAAGAGTCAGCAATCACACTAAGTACCTGATCCGTTTAAGAGGAGGAAGGTATTCCTGACTGTCTTCTCCAGCAAAGACCCAACCAAGATCAGGCCTGGACTAAATCCAGTTCCGGAGCTTCGGCTCATCATCCGTGATTTCGCGGGCTAAAGAAACACGGTCTGTAGTCTTGAGCATCAACACAAGCTGCTTTGATGGTGGTTTTTGCTGTGTGGTTATACCAATACTCCAAAGAACCAGGAACTGAAGACACTTGTTCCTCCAATCGGATTCGATGTTGAAAGAGGTTTGAACATCCCATAATGGACTCCATCTGTTTGGGCTCAGTGTTTCAAAACAAACGCCATCCGCCCATCCCAACAAACAAAAGAGAGAGCACCTCAGAATTTGGTGGCCACATTGGTGAGGAAGCTGATGGAGCCCGCAGCACCTTTGAGAGAAAAGACCAGTGTCATATATGGTCATAGTCATAGTCATATCTTAGGATGGCATTGAGAAGAACATGAAGATCTGATTCACTTGATTCACTTCTATGTCCATGATATTTGCAGGTCATACGGAGTTTTGGAGTTGAAGACTGACCATATCACTCACTACACACTACACTCACTGCACACGGCCCCATATCTACTGCTGATGGTGAGGAGTTGTCTTTTTGTCAACAGGCCACACTTGAACCAAATGTCAAGTAACACTATCTTGCCTTGTCTTTCTGGCCCCTCAGCAACAGCTGAAGCTGCCCCAACAGCTTCGCATGGTGACATCGATCGGTCAAACAGTTGTTCAATTGGCCTAGCTGTTTGGGTAATGGATGCCGTGTGAAGCCACAATGGCCAAGGGAGATGAATGTTGGACTGGGACTGGGCACCCCATGCCTGGTCTCTCTATGCAACACGGTGTACCGGTGTCCAGGACGTCCGACCCATGACCCAACAGACCGCCGGATCCGCACCTGGATCAGGCTTCTCGACGAGCATCATGACGATCTCGTCCTTACGGGAGGCCGAGAGGCCGTTCTGCTTGGGAGAAGAGTCCCAAAACTTTGGCGGCCTTGAAGGTAATAAGGTACGGTAATATATGGCCTGTTCTGATCTGTGTATACCTAGGTCTACGGGTTTTAAAATGTAGTTTGGCGAAACTCCACTTCTTCTTGTAGTTTCGTGGAAAAGGTGCGGTTTCAAGAAAAAGGGTCGTTTCAAACCTCCATTGTGTTCAACACTCAGTTTGAGCGCCAATTTGTGCTGCTTGAGCGCTATGTCGTGGGGGTCAAAATTCTGCTTGAACATGTGTTCTCTCACCATCTGGCTGGGGTCATGGCACCTGCTAGTACAGTAGTCTATTCAGTTCATGTTCGGTGGGAAAACCAGGGTTCTTGTTTTGACCCTCTGCCATGTCAGGAACAAAACTTCAAGGTGCCGTTTCGTGTTCTTTTTGGAAGCGGTAATTTTGAATACTTATGAAGATGCAAATATGCATGATATACATATGTGTTTCTACAAATGCGTTAAACATGGTTGTTTGGTTCAATCCATCATGATCTCTTTGCCAGCCGTCTTTCCAGGCCCTCCAGTTCGGCCTCCTACCCTTGGAGAACACCACCATTCACTGAAACAATCTGGCCAGTTCCTACAAAACGATTTGGCACGGATTGGAAGAACAAGGATGAGAATGGCGCACATGAGTGCAGAGCTGGATACTTGTTGTCCTTTCATGCGCCAGTACCAGGTCCAAACTCAGCGTATGTCCTTCAAGTGAACAGGTGACCATGGGAAAACCTCTTGTGGCCGAAAACACTGCCGTTGGGGTCGAACATTTGCTGACAAAGGAGCTGAGTTCGACAGGATCGCCTCATGGGCAACCCGGGCGGGCTGCTTGCCGGTGACAGTGTGCACACAGAGAGTGCATTGGCTCATTTCAGGGCGAGTTCAGCGAATGGAGAGGACCTATGAGAAAAGTGTTCAAAGGATGATGACCATCTTGACCGTGTTCCTCGAAAAATGAATGCTGGCCAAGGTTGTTTCAATGTGGCTCTTCCTACACAAAAGCCGTGAGCTCGGTTTAAGACCGCGTCCGCACTCGCGGGTGAACTCGAAAACCAGAGGGTGAAGCTTCTGAACACTCGGCACCGGCACCTACAGCACCTGCACAGCAGCCTCAGAATTGATTCCCAGTGAAGAGAGCCCACACTTTTTGACCAAAGGGAGGGTACTTGGTCGATTCAAATGCAACTCGTGCAATTATGATTCTTGGTCAGCAGCCTCAGACATGCCACAGAAAAAAATCCGTCACCGAGTGTCCATCTCAAAAGAGGACTGGTGTGGGGACCGAGTGTCTCTTTCTGACCCCGACCGGTCCCCGGAACGACAGAAAAACGTGGGGAAAATGAAGACGTGCCAACTGGATGGCCGGGGAACGAAGGTGTCCCCTGACTCCATTCCCAATGTGTGTTTTTTCCTTCCCTTTCCACGTGATGGGAAAGCGGCTGCGCCGTGATGCGCGCGAAGGCCGAATTCCGAAGATCAGCACACAGAAGACGCTGAAGAAAGAACCAGAAAGTGGATGGATCCAGCTAGAGAGCCCGGGACACTCATCCAAGTCTCATTGAAGGACACTTGCTGATTTGGGAGTGCGGGTGCTCGAAAAGCTTCGAAAAAGACCCTGCCTGCGTCATCTGGTCAACAGTTGTCATTTGGCTGGCTATCGCCACATCTTTCTGCCCGTCCACCTCACGAGCTTGTGCCAAATCGAACTGAGAGATTTATTTATACAGATCCATCCTGGTTGTTGGAGCATGGACCAGACTGGAAGACTATCTTCTTCTATAACTCAGTGGTTTTCAGGTTCCATGCGCGTCTCATCCAGGGTGTATTTGCGCCAAAGTCGACGACCTCACGACCCGCCCCGGCCTCGCAGCTCACAGCGTGGATGATATTCCCCACCTCCACTTCCAGAGCTCCGTTGGAGGCGGAGCCGCCACCTGGCCATTGTTCCTTTGATGTGTGTGTGTGTGCCACTGTGTCGCTGGGAAAATTGTAACTGATTGGTGCTTGATTGATTTGAACATTGTGAGGTTTCAACTTGCCTCGATGTGTGTAAAATAGTGAGACAAACACAAACAGGAAACAAAAAACGGCTGTTATTGTTTACAACAGTAAACACAAAAACAAAACAATTACAAACACATTTGGAGTGCTATTCTTTCCAGCAAGGAGTTGAGAACATCAGCCGAATCTTGGTCCGTCTGCAGTCGGAAACCGGGCCGCCACGGCCGTCCACCCCTGGTTAGACCAATAATGGGCGAATGAGTAGCTACAAAATGCGAGGACCGGCTTTTTGAGGGAACAGGGTATCAAAAGGATTGGTTTACAAGTTACAAGCTGATCTAATCGTTCACTCCTCATATTCTTGAGTGGCGAGCAAACCATAAATCGGTGATCTCAGGGCCCCCCGGAAAACAACGGCTGTTCGGTCGTCTTCGAGTGACCGATGCGGAGGAACGACCGCACCCAAAACGCCCAAACGTCATCTCGCTGTTCGAGCTCTGGGGCCGAGCACTAATGATCTCTGAGATCTCAAAGTGGCCATCGTCGGTGAGGGTAAAGCGGATTCCTGGAGGCCAAGTCGTGCCGAAGGATGAAGAGCGCAGCTCTACTCATCTACGACAACGTCATTTACCCAAAAGGCCAGACATTCGTACCGGAGTACCTGCCACCGGCGTCCACCAGCCTGTCCGCCGGCTGTGTGTAAACAGAACGCCCTCACAGCTGTGCACATCATGCCGCATGCCATGCTCACCCATTTCGCCAAGGCTCCCAGGGGCATTTCACCTTGGGTGTCAGGCTGTGACAACAACTGCACCAGACTGAAGCAATCAACCTCCAAAAGGGTATATATACATGGATATACAATGCCTTAAAGGGAGATGGACACAGTTCCTGCGAAACTGTTTTTCAGCTTTTTTCACTCCGACTTCAACCAAAAGGATCCAAAGGTGGACCTCCCGGCCACGAAGATCGCTTCATTTGGCTGCTTCTCACCCGGAGGTACTTACTCCTCTCCGCGCCTCCGGTCTCTTCGGCCAGGGAGGCCACAGACAATACGGGCTTCCAGTCCACCCATCGGCCCATGAACCTCGCCTGGCGAGAAACGTCGAACGGGGCGAAACATATTTGTGGTGTCTTTCGAAGACGATCGCATCGGTCGGCCGGAGATGTCTGGCGTTGATGTTCACACCTCGAACATGGGTCGAACATGTCGCTGAAAAGGCAGCGGGCACGAAGACCTTTCGAAACTCATCGACCCACTTCCTGGTTTGGATGTTGCAGGTGTGTTCACTAGCCACTCTTTATCAATATGTTTCTTTTGTTGAGCAGGCCCTCATCATGTTCACCTCGCAATTCCGGAAAGATTGAGCAGGGCCACGAGTCGAAGGTGTTCAATACACAAATATACACCACCACGCCTCACTACATGCCGTTCTCCTTTGACAACATGCCATCTTTCTTGCTCAAACCACATGTTCGAAGCACCAACACTTCCGCTGGCGAACGCACCGGACCCAACCTGCCGCCCGGTTTCCACCGGCGCCTTCTCCAGACCTGCTCCTCCCGCAAGGCTCTGTCGTGCTACCCGTGGCTCTGCCAACTCAGCTCGTCTCATCGGCCCTACAAAGACCAGGCCCAGCGGCAGCAGCAGCACGCGCCATGCCCGCCCAACGCGCATCTCTTGCGTGAGTGAAACTCACGGGGCGGCAGGGCGGGGCCGCAGGAGTGTTTCCTACTTGATCTTAAACGCCAAAAGGAGTGACACAACATGAGTAGTTTCACAAAGTTCCTAGCACTGGCAACAACATCTCCTAATCGATGCCGGAGACCTCACGCAGCCCCTGATCGATCCCTGCCTTTCAGGAGTGATGCGGAGCACCCGGCATGGTTTGGCCTGTCGGTTTTGGTCCGTGATGTTCCAGGAAGGTCGCTGAAACCACACGGATATGGGCTGGTTCAATAGGATGTTTGGCTTGCATAAGCCTGCGCTTCTCGTCGGATTACCAAGATGGCGTGACAAATCGGTTATAGATCTAGCAGAGTCCAGACATTGCCAGCTACATGTTACGTTCGCCTTGGGTGCTACAAATCCGCACCAAGGTGTGCCCCAGCGGAAATGCTCTCAATCGAGACGAGGCATGAACCCACAAGTTTTGATAAACCTGACTTCTTTGTGCTGCCGGGGGCCTTCTGCTCTGCGGTTTGGATCTTTAACTTGCCCTTCCTCCTCTCTACTGTCCTGGACACACAGCTCTGCATGGACTCCGGACACTATAGTCAATAGTAAGGGCAAAGAATGTGTAGTAGAAACTGATGCTTTTGAAAACCAGCATCTTGACAGCAGTCAAACTCATGAAGACTCCGTTGTCCGGCATCTTACAACACAGCTACAAGTTGGACCAAGGCTGATCATCTAAAGGATGCACATTGGCAGGGCTAATCTACATGCTTTTCAGGGTCATCGAAGATCTGCTTTATCAGAACAAGATACAGATCAGGCCATTCAAACGGATCACCGCCTGGTGACCCGTTTGAAGCCCAAACAGATGCGCCCGTGAAGCTCCTGGCGAGCAACAACCGGGCATCGATGCTCCTCCGCTTGTGCTTCAGGAAACACGCCCTGGTCGTGGCTGGTGAAGCAGTAGCACCCGGAGCACACGAGCACCCGGAGCACTGAGCACACGATCCCACCGCCAGGTTTTGAAGGCCGCATCCGGTTCAGTGATCCTTAATTAAAAAGCAAGTCAAGGTGGCACTGTATAATGTGTATATATATACACACCAGGAGTTGCATATGTTCTTTCCGAGTCTACGTTCGGAATCGAAAACCCAAATCGAGTCCAATCAAATCACCAAATGACCAAGGCCCCTTCGTCAAGAGTCGAAAGGTCTTCATTGCCAAAAGGTCTTCAAGTGCTCGGTTGTGTTTGGCCCCTAAGAAAATGTTGTAAGGATCTTCATGAAGGATGACGTGTCAGCAATAAAGTTAGTGTAGTTATACAATACGATGCAGATCAAATCAGATCAAAGGAAAAACTTACACAGATTAAGACAACGTAAACGGAGGAATGATACAACGATTGCCTTGATGATGTCTTGGCAACAAAAATAGTCTGATGACATAACGAATGATGACGTGGTGGTAAGAAAATTGCGCTGTTGAACAAACGAACCGTGATTTGGTGGTAACAGATGTTGCAATGGTCTACCCATCATGAAGTGAAGAAAATGATGTAGAAACTGATGATGAATGCTTTGTTGCTCCGACGATATAATGGTTCTGTCCTCATACAGCGACCGATGCGGTGGCAATCATCATCGAGGCCGGAGGGAGGGCATCGAATTTGGAGGAATCAACTGTATTACAGTAAGTTAAATATGTTTGAAGCAGACAAGACTGGAAAATAACACACTACACGAGCCGTGTGTGTATCACACAAGCTTCAGTTCCACCACCGATCCCACTGATCGCAGGTTTTCCCTCAAAAAGCATGAACCCTTCGTTCGACGCCACAAACCTCGCTCACATCTATGCAAGTGGCCTCAACACACTTGCTTCCTCTGCTGTGAGCAGGAAGCCTGGGCATGAGAATTACCAAAATGGACATCTCCCAAAATACATTGTCCGCGTGTTTTTTTAAGGACAAGGAAGAAAGTGCTCACTGCTCAACAGAATGGCAAAGCAGGCCATTGTTGATAACTGTGAATACTGCATGCGTTCCAGCAACTTTCAATGGCAGCGCCTGTTTGACAAGCATTTGAGTGGGCAATTGAAAATTGAGATCATGATTCACGCCTATGTCAAGTTCGTTTCTCCTTACAGCTGCCCATCCACGGTGTTCCTCCTACAAAAGAATCCAATCCACAGCAATATCATTGGGTCTGGCGATAACTTCTTGGCCAAGTTGCTCCCGCGCGGCGCGGTTTTGTCTTCTACCTTGTTGGTTTGAGGGGCGGCACCAGCATTGCCTGGGACTGTTCTCCGAGCAAAGCACAACCATGTTGCAGTCACCACATCGTGAAGGAACACATCCAGAAGGTGGTCTGTGACATTGCCAAAAGTAGCGTGTCTAACCCAAAACGAATCAGCCACACAGAAACATACTTGACTCAAGCACTGTTAGCGACAAACTACCAAGCCGTACTGGTTCCGATACACCATGTGCTCTTCATGTCACATCGTAGAAAAAGTTTCTAATCAAACATATCTGAACTCTGTAGCAACCAACAAATGCACAATGCAATGACCAACAATGCCATGCACCACAAGCAATCAACGCTGACCGACGCTGAAGGTATGGCAAACGGATCGCACCTGTTTCTCTCTCTAAGGGCTCACGCCGCACGACGTCGTCCCTCCCTTGGTGGTGAAATGGCAGCGGACAGTCACAATGAGGATTCCATGGTACCTTGGTATGGCACGTGGTCAAATGGATCTTGAATTCTCTCACCCCCCATACCTCTGGGATCGTCAGCGGTGTCCCATCGCCACTTATTGGCCTTGGCAAGCAAAGTGAGATTCTCCACAAACAGGTTCTCTTGCTCCTTCACCATATTTTCCAACTCACGCTTCGTCAGCTTCCTTCCAGCAGTGAATCGTTCGTCATGAACGATCTTCCAGCACTGTCCTCTTTGCCCTCATCATCAAACAGTCAGCCAAGTGGGCCACGCCATTGACCCGGCGAAAGGAAGCACCAATCCTCACAGCCTGATTGACCGCAATGCTCAACTCATATCCAGCGCGTCGAGGAATTGTCCTTGGCACTCCTCTCGTCTTCCGATGGCATCTTTTCTCCTCCTTCATCATCTGGCCTTGACATTGACCTTAGCCATGAAATCCTCCGGGTCGAGATGATCCATGCCAGCCTGGGCCTTCATTTACTCCGCTGCTGCCAGAGCCATGAGATCCACCTGACTGTCGACGATGTCCGAGACCTTGGAGTCCGGACCTTCCATCTTCTTCTTCTTCTTCTTCTTCTTCTTCTTCTTCTTCTTCTTCTTCTTCTTCTTCTTCTTGGCCCTCGTCGCGCAGTCGGGAGTGAAGCCCATCCTGTTGTTGTACTCCTTGAGCGTCATGTCGATCGCCATGGTGTCCGTCAGACCCTCTCCATCAGCTTCCCTTGGGTCACCTTCTCCGTGACCTCCTCGGGACGCATCTTCTGGCAGAGTTGATCCAGCGCCATCTGGACCATACTGCGATGGTCTCCATGGCCCTTCTTCTTTGCATCGTAGTTTATTGTGAGGGCGCATCGACTGCATGAGGCAAAACTGATTCTGCCTCACTGCCCCTTTCTTGCGTTGACACATGCATGGCCATCCACTCAGCCTGGGATCGTCTACGGCGCATGGTTGGCACCTGGAGCTCATGTCGTAGTCGATGCTTGAGATCTTTCAACCTTTGAGCCAAAGAATCAGAACTCTGCCGGGAAAACGCACATTGTGACTCATCTTCTTCAGCATACCATGCTGTATGCCCTGGATCATAGGTCTCCCATGACCATGGCTCCTTCTCTTCCCAGCCGTTCTCATCTAGCCAGTTCCACCAGATCTTAGGCTTGCACCACTGATGGCTTTCACCTTCCTCTGCAGACAGGGTCCTCAAAGCTCTTCCGTCTGGGTGAGGATGTTCTGCTTCTCGTGCGTGACTTGTCAACTTTGCAGCCCCCTTCGAAGAAATCCGGGAGGTATGCAGGTGCGGGTGCAGTGGTTGCCGCCTCCTGCGCGGTCTCGCGTTCGTGAGCAGCATGAAAACGAAAACCTGCAACTGAGCTCGGCGAAAGTGTCGATGGGGGTCCTCTGCCAACTTCCTGAATCAACGGTGCTGGGGGGCGCCAAACCTCGGTCTTCACGAGCATGAGTGGGTGCAGCCTGAAGTTGAACAAACATGTGCTGGGAATTGTCCCCCTGTTCAACCGACGCAACTGATGCCATGCATCCAGACAACGGAATGAGTCTGAAATTGGCACGGCCTGGAGCGGCGACTTCCGAAGGATGTCAGCTTGGAGAGTCCGTCGTCAGCTTCATCGATGACGCACAACAGCTTTAGCCGGTCCAGCTAGTCTTGCCCAAACACGACTCGCCGCCTGCTTCCGCTCTGACTCCTTCAAGGACTTCTCATACCACCTGCAAGCAATGCTGAAAGCCTCAAAGTCAACGGGGTCACCAGACCAGACAGGCACACCAGGTGAGCTCCGCTGCCATGAACTCTGTAGCAACCAACAAATGCACAATGCAATGACCAACAATGCCATGCACCACAAGCAATCAACGGTCACCGACCGACGCTGAAGGTATGGCGAACGGATCGCACCTGTTTCTCTCTAAGGGCTCATGTCGCACGACGTCGTCCCACCCTTGGTGGTGAAATGGCAGCGGACAGTCACACTGACACGTGGACAAATGGATCTTGAATTCTCTCAATATCTGACTGTTCTGCAGTATTATAGGAAGTGCAGTAGTTGATGGCCAAAGAGTTCGATTCCCGGCGATATCACATTGCAAGTTCGGTGGGTCTCGCCATATCTGCTGGGCCAAGCTGCTCCCGGGCGGCACGGCTTTGTCTTCTACCCTCGCTTCAGGGGCAGCACCAGCATTGCCTGGGACTTTTAGCCACCACACCGTGAAGGAAGACATCCAGAAGACGTGTTCGTTGCTCAGTTCCCAATTGTAGCCCACAACGAAACAAGGACACAAAAAGGAAGTCTCGACCATTCTCAGCCATGTTTGATCCTTTTGTGCGATTCCCCAGCCCAAAT